ATTAAAGCAAATTGATCCAAAACAAATCCATTAACCTTAGCCAGGCAATAAAGGAGCTATAAATAACCACTATTTAGCCCATTACACATCAGTTCCTCCACAGGCATCATATTTTCTGTTTTTCTTTCCCTTGTTCTTTCTCACTGAATCGATTTACATGCCAAAGTAAATCATCTCCTGTTTTTCAATCCCCACCTAGAGTCTCATAATACTCTTTGTGGCCCTGCAGTTGGTTGCCGTGGCCATTCTGATAACATCTCAAACAGGGGATTAGTGCTTCACGGGCAGCAGGAACAGATGAATTCTTAAGAAACAATGACAGTATTTTTATATAAAGCCACTACTAAAGAGAACAGATAAAGAGAAACACAGAAAATATGATTTATAGTCAGAAATACAGTTGAAGAGAAATGTTTTCCATGAACCAGCAGTGGCTCTTTGAAATGACTAAGATAAAGAGCAAGAAAAGAATACAACCCACCAAAATTAAACAAAGGAGTTCAAAGGGCTACACAATTCCTTATGTAAACATCCCTCTCTCTGGTTTATTCTTAGTATATACAGTTTTTAAGACTACATTTCAACAGCTGTGACAAATGCAGTTCTAGCACCTATGATCCATTATCTTCATATTGTATATTCTTTACACTTCATTTAATATTAAAGACTAAATGTGTTCCAATTATTAGGGGGTTGGACTATGCCAAGCATCAGCATGTTCAATTCCCCTGTCTGCATGAGGAGAGGATCAGCTACCTTCTTAAGACAGAGGATCTTCAGAGAGGGTGGGGTCAAATAGGATTCTGTGAGGAATCCACACAAACCTTCACAGAGCCTGAGGCTGTATTAGCTTTTTGCATGCCTCCCTCTGCAAGAAAGAACCCCTCTTGAAGTCATTTTCAGGGGCAGCAGAAGATGAAGGAGCCAGATGGAGCCATGCTTTCAGAGACAATGGTAGACAGGGAGTCTCCAGAATTGGTATGGAGACCCCAGCATGCCGTGGTTCCCCAAGGTCTTGGGGGGGGGGGAATCTGCAAGTTTTAGGGTTTGAACCCACTGCCCATTCCATGAGGAAAGTAGCAAACTCAATCCCAGTTGGAAGGATCTGCTGGAAACTCTGCATGGCTCCTGCCACAGACTTTATCTTTCCTCTCACACGTTTCCACAAGAAGGGCAGAAGACCGACACTTCCTATCCAGCTGCTGCTGGTGCACTAGTTGTATTTAGTTTTTAATAATTCTCAATTTAAGAGAAACTTGTTTTCCTCTCTTCTGGTTTTCCCAGTGTAATTTTATCTACACAGCAATTACTTTATGTACCCACGCACTGCCTAACCAATGAAATTTATCCCAATTAAAACTCCAACGCTAAAACTTTTCAAGCTGAATATATATATATATATATATATATATATATATATATACACATACACACACACACATATATAAGCTTGTATTCAACGCAGAATGGCAAAACCACAACATCTTAAATACAGAAGAAATGAAGAAAAATGGAATCATTAACTTTCCATCATAACTGGGAATTGCTACGTAGACATTTTTAGGATAATTAGCAGCATCTTGTCCTTTCACGCACTGCACAGATGCTTACCAAAATGATCATCTAAAATGCACTTGGCCTGAATTTCAAGAACATTATTACAGTATTCTCTTATGCTGCAGACTTCTCACAAAGGGTCCCTCGATGAGAAGGGGATTATATCCTTAATGTCCCCAGCAAATCAAAACCTCACAGAACATGGCATGCTTGCTATGTCATTCTTCCCCCACACCCCACTGCCCCAGTACCTAATAAAGACAGAAACTACCTTGGTAATGACCATATATTATTTGAATCAACAGTGCCTAGCACAATGGAGGCCATGCCCCTGACTGTGGCCTCTAGGTTCTACCACATTCCAAACAAATAATAATAATATGTAAAATACAGTGCTTATCAAGTACACTTTTAGTAGAGCTGAACACAGCCAGCTTTCTTGGCTTTGACTGCATGAATTTATGCAACTAAAAATGAACTGAGGTTCTTGAGGTTTTATGGTTGAGGCTTTTCTGCTCAGTTCTGAAATAAAAGAACAGATCTGTATTTGTGGTATGGGAAGTGATATTTAGACATATGGCTAAAAGACATCAGAAGAGTATCGGGCTACTGCGAGGTCACCATGATGATTACTGGAGATTTTTGTTTAATCAAACTCCATCTTACAAAATTATAAACTATTTGTTTCCAATTGCGAATTTAAAAACAACAGATGTTACTTCAACAGCTGTGTATTAAGACAGAGGGTAATATTTTCTAAAGGGCCTAAATAACTTAGGAGTCTATGTTCCATTTTCAAAAGTGATCTACGCACTTAGGCTCAGATTTTAAAAGACCCCCAAAGATGCAGATAGGTGCCTAGACAGATTTTCAAAAGCATTTAAGTAGATCAGGTGACAAACTCCCATTGATTCACCTGTTTAGGTACTATTGAAAATCCCAATAGGTGCCTTTAGGTGCCTAAATTTCTTTGAAATTCTGACCATCAGACCCCTATGTCACATTGACTTTCAATAAGACTTAGGCTCCTAAGTGCCTAAATCAATTTGAAAATGGCACTTAGGTGCTTTTGAAAAGATTACTCAGAGGCTATGGAGTCAGTTACACTGCGATTGCTGCCAATGGGGACCTTGGGCTTCTGAATCTCTTTCCAGGTAGAAGTATTCTACCTGTATTTAAAGTTAAGTTTTGATTTTTTAAAAACCTGTGTATTAAGTTGATGCTTGTGAAAGGTGCTGGATTGTGAGCAGAATGAAGTCCTCTATTTACAGAACAAGTGCTGTACTGATAATGACATCAAAACTGTCCCCACATTTGTCCCACCAAGGTGCCTCCAGTGGCAGACATGGGGCTATTCTGTAATAATCTATGGATACTGTATTGGGATTTTTACTGTTGGGTGTATTGGGTTTAATCAACAGGGATGTTGGGAACAGGGCCGGCTCCAGGGTTTTGGCCGCCCCAAGCAGCCAAAAAAAAAAAAAGCCACGATCGCGATCTGCGGCGGCAATTCGGCAGAAGGTCCTTTGCTCCGAGCAGGAGTGAGGGACCGTCCGCCAAATTGCTGCCGAATAGCTGGACCTGCCGCCCCTCTCCAGAGTGGCCGCCCCAAGCACCTGCTTGCCAAGCTGGTGCCTGGAGCCGGCCCTGGTTGGGAAACAAACAGGAATTCAAAACAATGATTCAAGATAAGACAAACAAACTATTGAGGGTTGTCACAAGATAATGGAATGGACAATGACTCTAGAGCAGGGGTCGGCAACCTCTGGCACGCGGCTCGCCAGGGTAAGCACCCTGGCGGGCCGGGCCAGTTTGTTTACCTGCCGCGTCCGCAGGTTCGACCAATCGCGGCTCCCACTGGCCGCGGTTCACCGCTCCAGGCCAATGGGGGCGCCGGGAAGCCGGGGCCAGCACATCCCTCGGCCCGTTGGAGTTGGAGAATCACATGATTTCACTGAAAGGAAAAGTTAAGGCAGGAGTCCTGACACCAGTGGTTGTGCATTAAGAGAGAGACCAGAGATGGGTCAGAAGTGCAGCTAAACCTGTACCCATGACATAAGAACAGCCATACTGGGTCAGACCAAAGGTCCATCTAGTCCAGTATCCTGTCTTCCGACAGCGGCCAATGCCAGGTGCTTCAGAGGGAACGAACAGAACAGGTAATCATCAAGTGATTCATCCCCTGTTGCCCATTCCCAGCTTCTGGCAAACAGAGGCTAGGGACACCATCCCTGCCCATCCTGGCTAATAGCCATTGATGGACCTATCCTCCATGAACTTAACTAGTTCTTTTTTGAATCCTGTTATAGTCCTGGCCTTCACAACATCTTCTGGCAAGGAATTCCACAAGTTGACTGTGCATTGTGTGAAGAAATACTTCCTTTTGTTTGTTTTAAACCTGCTGCCTATTCAAGATACTTCCATCCTGGTCTGGACAGATCAACCTCTGGGGATATGAGAGAAGTTCCATCTCAATCCCCATTCAGTCCTTGACCTCTCTACTGAAGTACCAATTAGTGCCTGTTGGGGTTCCTGTCACTGGGAACTGCAATGAGACCACCAATTGCCTCCTTTAATATTTCCCTCTTGCTTAAATTCCTTCTTTGCTACCTTCTCCGCTCATGCTGAAGGCATAATGACAAAATCTAGGATTTAGCCTTAATTGGATCTCTGTAATGTTACCACCCGAATTAGCTCCCCCCCGCCATGAATAATTGTCACTGCCTGGAGGTTGACATATTGCTTCCCTGTACTTTGCAATTGTCAAGAATTTCAAATGGTATGCTCAGAACAAGGAAACAGTTTAGAAGTGGAAGGCCTAAAAAGTAGGAGTGCTATTAAAATATTTGGCATTAAGCCCCACATGCTTACCTTTAGCAGTACACTTTCCATTGCCAAAATGAGGGGCTGGCCGCAAACCTTGCTAGGATCAGAGGTGTGAATCCCAGTCCTTTGGTTAATAATAGCTACTGAAATAGGATGACTATGGCAAAGGTAAAGCGGTGATCACTAGTACTGCCTAGCTAAGAATTGTGTACATCCTATATAATTATTGTCATCCTGTATCGTCCTGCCTCTTAGATCATAAGCTCCTTGTAGCAGGGGCAGTTTGAATGGTGCCCAGTCGAATGGAATTTGACCTAAGCCTTCAGTATACAGAAAAGCTCGTCTGTTTTTTCAGCTATTGTGTGGGTTGTCAAATGGTGAAAGTTTTCATCTTAAAGCATTGCTACAACTCTTTCTACTGCTCTTTAAAAATAGCCTTGGAATGATAGCATTAGTAATATAGGCGCATCAAGAAATTATATTAATTTCACTGCATTATACATTTTGAACCATATAAACTCACATGATACATGTCTCCGTTATATTCCTCAGCTCTCCAAACCACATGGTAGAGAAGCTGCTCACATTTATCATCAGGAAAAACACTCCGTGCCTACCTGACGTAGAGTGACCGCTTCTGATTGGTTCTCAGGGAGCCAGACCCAGAACTCATGCTGTGGTTCATCATCTGCTCACGTAGGTCATGGATTTTTGCCTCAAATCGAGCGTACTCTGATGATGGAAAAAACAAACAAACCTCTATTGTAGCTGCATTACAACTGGTAAATGCAAATGAATGTTAAGATTAATAAATCCAGGACATGTTCTTAGAATCATGGTCACATGACCTATCTATCTTAAGCGTGTATATAACCCCATTACTGTAGCATCTAAGCATTTCACTATCTTTAATATATTCACTCGCAACACCAAGGTACTGTCATCCCTATTTTGTACCTGGGGAACTGGGGCACAGAGAGACTGACTTGCCAAAGGTCACACAGAAAGCCTGTGGCAGACCAGGTAACTGAACCCAGGCTAGCACCATACCCACTGGACCATCCTTCGTCTCAGTGACTGAATTACCTTGCTGACAGAGCACAAGGTACAGTAACATTACCAGTCGGACCAACACATGAAGAAGCAATAAAGAAAGTTTCCAAAGTTCTTTCAAGTGGAACTGTGCAGTGGAGAACCACCCCTCCCGATCTCATTTAGCAAGGAAATACCTTGGGAGCTAGTTTGTCCACACTGACTGTGGAATTTTCATGAAAAGTCCCCCTGCCTGGGTGCAGTGGGGGGCAAAGCATGCAGTGAACCCCTTCTGCCCCCAGAGGAGTTACCCTTACAGAACGCACCGAATACCAAGGGGCCCTCTCATGCTGCACACTCCTTGAAGCAGAGTGTAGGTAAACTTGAGGCCCAGCCAGTGCTTCGCACCCTGGGCAGGAGCACCTATCTGAGAGACAATGCTTGGGTGTGCACACAATGGGAACCTGATTTCACCGTTGCCCTGCACCTTATTTACACTAGTGCAATGTGGATGCAAACTAGTTGTAAAATGCTACTGATCAGAATGGTAGCATTTTACACCCACTTTGCATTGGTCAAGGTACAGGACAACAATGAATTGGACCCTACATCTTTAGTATGGGACTGGGTGCAGCAACTGCTGCTCTTAGAAGCAGGCATAATTCCTCCAGATTCCACCATACTCACAGACAGCTGCTAACTCCTTCCCTCTCTCCACCGCTCCATTGCCTTTGAGCCATAATACAGCTCAGAGTTGGAGAGAGTTGCTAAAGAAAACTAAGAAGAATTTTTTTTCTGAAATGTGATTCAGAGACTTCCTATTAAACAGGACACTTACAATGGAAAGCCAGGCAAACACAGAACCCAATATTACATACTTGCTAAAGAAAAGATTGATTTTAATAATAAAATATATCAATAATACTTATACTGAGCTTTACATGTTTAAAGGAATGTATAAATGTTATTTAATCCTCACAACACCTCTATCAATTATGTAGAAATTACTATTCCCATGTTCAGATGTTGAAGGCCCTTTGAACACCTCAATCCCAGCCCAAAGCACCTTCCTGCACCCCAAACCCCTCATCCGCAGCCCCACCCCAGAGCACACACCCTGAACCCCTCATTTCTGGCCCCACCCGGAACCCGCATCCCCAGCCCAGAGCCCATACCCCTTCCACACTGCAACCCCCTGCCTCAACCCAGAGCCCCCTCCCATACTCCGAACCCCTCGGCTCCACCTCCCAGCCTGGAGCCCCCTCCTGCACCCCAATCCCTGGCTCCACCCCAGAGCCCACACCCTCAGCCGGAGCCCTCACCCCCTCCCGCAACTCAACCTCCTGAGCCAGCCTGGTGAAAATGAGTGAGTGAGTGAGGGTGGGGAGAGTGAGTGACAGAGGGAGGGGGGATGGATCGAATAGGGGGTGGGCCCTCAGAGAAGGGGCGGGGCAGAGGCGGGGCCTCAGATGAGGGGCAGGGCAGGGCAAGGGTGTTGGTTTTGTGTGAGTAGAAAGTTGGCAATCGTATCCATTGCTTTTGTTTGTGTACAAACTACTGGAGCAAGTTTTCAGATCATGCTGTTCCTTCAGGTTCATAATTTAGCAGATCCTCTTCTCACTTGAATCCAATTTTCTTTATCAGAAATCTTGACTCAGATTGAAAACCCTCTGATGCGGACTAAAGCACTGTATAGATAAGATTTAAGTCTCATTTTCAAAAGTGATTTAAGCATTTAGGAGCTTAAGTCTTATTGAAAATCAATGGGACTTGGGCTCCCAAGTGATGGAGGGCCAGATATTTTATGTCAGTGGGAGTTAGGCACCTAAATACCTTCAAAAATCTGGCCCTAAATCACTTTTGAAAATGGGACTTAGGTGCTTTTGCAAATTTTACCCCTAATCTAGGATTTGTACATTTTCCCTTTGGTCAATTTGGTCAAGATTCATTTTGTAAATTGTTTTGTTTCTGGCAAGCCAAATAAAATATTACATTAACTTTTTATTATTACTATTACAGCTATTTATTTTTACTCTACCTCATTATGTGCTTCTTGCTATATTGTAAACCTACTTGATATTTATGAAAGGTACATGTAAAACAATCAATTAAAAAAAGTAGCCTGTATTTCCATTGCTCACATTCCACCTGTTCTGTGGATAAACAGAGAGCACTTCACATTCC